TACCCTACTATCCCGTTGTGGACTACTATGGGTCCGCGGGCCACAATTTGTGAATCACTGCAATAATACACAGAGTAAGATTCCTGGTACAAATACTCAGGAGCCTGAATTTGAAATTCACTTCTATTAATCACTTTGAAAATGACATTTCAGCCAGTAAATGTGTGCTAAAGTATTTGCACAAGGGGTGCATAAGAGGGACACATACACAGTTTAAAAAAAAAACCTTTAAAAAATCGGCCACAATTTGTGAATCACTGCAATAATACACAGAGTAAGATTCCTGGTACAAATACTCAGGAGCCTGAATTTGAAATTCACTTCTATTAATCACTTTGAAAATGACATTTCAGCCAGTAAATGTGTGCTAAAGTATTTGCACAAGGGGTGCATAAGAGGGACACATACACAGTTTAAAAAAAAAACCTTTAAAAAATCGAACATGTTTGTAGAAGTTGTTTACCATTATCCCAAATCCATGTGCCTTGCTCATGAGATATACCTCTCATATTTGTGAGTGTGCTCAGAAAGCAACAATCACAGTCTTGCCTCTACATACGTTACTCCAATGGGCTATTTGGTTTAAAAGATAACAAAACTGAGCAATGTTAATTTTAATTTGTTTCACACTGAAAATTGAAACTCAGAATGATTATGTTAAAGTCACAAAGTTATTGCATGGATGATTGTTAAGAAGACAGCAGGAAGCTTAGACGTAATATTTAAAAGAAATTTGTCAAAGTACTATTTTGATGTTAATAGGTATCTCTATAAAGTCATTTTTTGTATGTATGTAGATTATAAATATATGCATACGTTAATCAGTAAGCTATCGTTTATGTTTCAAAAAATCTCTCTATATCATTCTTAGCTTTCTTTGAAGCTGTGCTGTTGGTGATGAAACTGTGCTGCTTTAGGATACAGAATTTATGCTGTTGCCCTATAGAGCACTGAGGCTACATTCAGAGTTTTCATGTTTGTCTTTATTTGTTTTTCTAAGGAGAACTTTACTTCATGTCTACTGGAATACCAAGTGCCACTGCTCCCAATGGAGTAGTTTACAAAATAGTAGACACCTCACGGTAAGAAATGCTCTTGTTACAGTATCTTAATTTGATTCTGTGGACCTGGGTTTGATAGTTATGGCTGAAATAAATTGTTCTTTTTTCACCTTGGTCCCTTGCTAAAGTGTAAATCAGTGTAAATAGGGACTGGCTTCATATTCAACTAAACTTCTTAGTGGATGCTCTAGGCTTCTGCAGAGTTGGAGTCTGCATTGGCAGGTGATCCAGAGATTTGCTTTGAAGAGGGTTGTATATTTTTCCTGGGTGTGAAGATTATTCAGTTTCTGTTTGTAAAGCCAGCAGCTGGTTTTGTGGGCGTCAAGTCTCTCCAAAGCTGCTGTATTAAGGGATGGTGGAGCCTCAAGACTTCTGTCTATGCTGATGTTGCCTTTGTCAAGGTGGTTGATATGTTCCCAACAGGCCCATCTGCTCTCTCCTATGCAAATCCCTCCTTCACAGAGCACCTTCTGCAGTTGGCTGATGTCTTCTATACGAGAGGTGCAAGATCCACATCCACAGAGGATCCTCTCCATGTGAATTAAAGGACGCAGCCCAGCCTAATCTTAGCACCACCTCTTTCTATAAATAAAACAGAAAAAAGTTAAAAACTCATTCTCCCCCACTCCCCCGCTGTTTATTCTATTGGTTTAATGGTGGAACTAGCCTGGACAGCGGCACAGAGACAAGGGCTCACTTTCTGGCTCTCTTGCTATTAAATGGAGTTGTCGTATCTGGGACAATAACAAAATAGTAGAATCTTGGGGAGGATTTATAGATTTAATGAAAATATGACTATTAAAGGATCAAATAATGCCTGCCTAGTAGGGTTTTAAAGATAAATGTGCCTTAGTAGGTTTTTAAAGATTTGTGCTTATTTAAAAATAAACTAACTTTGGGTGTCAGCTCTCTGACCATCTTTTTTTAGTCAACATGGGAAAACTCCATATTTCTAGAGAATATACAATCAGATAAGTAGAGAGATATTGATACCTTCTGAATTCCAGAATTTTACCCTTTTCTTTTTTTTGCTGACTCCTTTGCAGACTAGTGAGTTTGTGATCATATCGTTGCCCATCAGCTCAAACAATTTAGATTATTTCTCTCACGCTGCAGCATCTATTAAAAAGATACTCCCCATTTCTGTGGTACAAATGAGCATCTTAAAACTATGGGCATCATTTTTAGAAATACAAAGTACAGTGCAAATTTAGTATTAACCACGCAGAAACATTTAAAAATTTGAAAAACAGAACACAATCTGTAAATTACAAATGAAAGTGTCCTTAGTAGTTCTCATTATAAAGCATGAGAGTGAAAAAATAAAGGTTTATACGGAAGCTTACAAAAATATAGTAACCTAATCCTAAGTATCTGCAAGTCAATAAGTGAGAGAGGTATTCTTTGTGTCTGGCTACAGTCGTCTTTTTTCAGACACAGCAAATGCAAACGACTCTAATTATGAAGGCATTATATGCTGCTCAGTAGTTAGACTATATTGTCCCACTGTTGCATTGCTTTGAAAATTCTTAGAAGCCCTAAATAACAAACCAAATATCAGAGGGAAAAGTATTTAATGTACTGGGTATAATTTCTCAAAAGCGAGGGACACTGCAATGGCAAACAAGCTTCAGACAAATGAATGCAACATTTTAAAAGAATGCTTCTTTGAAAGGGACCCTGAATGTAAAAATGTAATTTGAAGTTAATTACATCTATAATGCTGTTTAAAGTGATATCTGGGATCAGCAAGTTTCTTTTTGTTTTCCTTTTTAAATAATTCTTTCTGGTTCCTTTCTATTGTTATGTAAATTGTGGTCCAAGTGAAGTGAGGTGTTTTTTTTATTTTAAATATATGATTGCATGCCATCTTGTTTCTAAGGAGATGGCTTAGAAATGTGCATGTGAACATGACAATCATTTCAGCTATCTAACAAACATTGTATAGCTTTATACCGTTTTCTGTTCAATTTGATTCGTAACTTTCTTTATTGCTTTGAACCCACTAATTTTCACTTTGATGGATTCAGTATTGATAAAGAAAATGCTATCAAAATACTGCACATGCTTGTGAATATTTGAGCTCTCTGATCTACGGAGAGAATACTATTTTGTTGGTGGGGCATAAGAGTTCATTTGGGTCATTTAAATAGATTTTTTTTCACAAGTGCAAAATTCATTTAAAAGCAATGGAAACAAAGAATGCTGCTATACCATTGGAAAGCAATTCATCCTGCGCTGTGTCCCTCTTTCTCAGGAGAGCACCCCCAGGAAAATGCCGCACTGAGCCTTTGCAAGTGAAAGTGAAAAGCAGGCTCATAAAGTTTGTGCCGAAGGAGAGTGAGTATTGTTGTTGCTCCTAATTTTTTATCTATACGTATTAACTTAAAACCAGCATAATCTTTTTGGATGTGCAAGCCACTCAGAGCTTCAGTCCCAGTGTATCTTTAAAATTAATTTCTTCCAACACATTTTTAATATAAGTAGCGGAAGGATGGCGGGTGCATTAGCCAAGGCCCTAGGACTTTGCAGATGCTGATTTAGACCCCTGCTGCACTGTAGACTTCCTGTGTAACCTTTGGAAAGTCACTGATGGCAGGTTTACAGTAGGAATCTAAAGGACTAGTTGACTATCTGATAAGCAAATGCCTTATCAACTAGTTACCCCCCCCCCTTGCTGCCTCTATCAAAATAAGGAGAAGATGAGATACTTAAAAGTGGCAGTGCTGCATGGAGCCCAGGGTCAACAGCTCCATGTGGCACTGCCACTTTGAATGCCGTGTGGAGCCTGGAGTCATTTCAAAGCAGCAGCACTGCTTGGAGCCCAGGACCAGCTGGGGACTCCCCAGCTGACCCCGGGTTCTGTGTGGCACTGCTGCTTTGAAATGCTAGGTGGAACCCAGGATCAGCTGGGCACTCTGGGCTCCATGTGCATACCAGCTTTAAAATGCCTGGATTCCCTGTTTCCTGGGTTTAAATTAAGCTAGCGCTGTCCAGAGCACGGTTCCAGTAAATATCAGGGCTGTCAACTGATGTGCGTTAACACCTGCGATTAACACAGGGAAGGATTAACACCTTAATTTTTTAATGCGTTAATCGTAAGTGTTAACGCTGCGCTGCCTCTTTGAAGCATCACTCCAGTGCTTCAAAGGGGCAGTGCATTAGGAGCCTGGGATCAGCTGAAGTCCCCAGCTGACCCCAGGCTCTGTACAGCACTGCCCGTTTGAAGCACTGGTCTTCAGCTGATCCCCGGCTCCGTATTATGCTGCCCCTTTGAAGCGCCGGTCCCAGGCTCCCGTGGTGCTGCTGCTTGGAAAAGCCACTGCTACATTTCCAAGGAGCAGCTGCACTGAGCCTGCGGTCAGCTAAGGACTCCAGCTAATCCCAGGCTTCCGCAGCGCTACCCCTTTGAAATGCCACCGCAGCGTTTACAAGGGGCATTGCATGTGATTAATCGTACGATCGCATGATTAATTTTTTTAATTGCTTGACAGCCCTAATAAATATTTTCATATCTGTGAGAGTTGTAGTACTTACTGCAGGCCCAAACCCGGAACCCTGGGGTTTTTGGAAACAGTCTGTGAGAATTTAAGCCCTGCCTGTTGCCTCTTCACTGCAATCTCAAATTCTATAGTGCTTTCTATTAGGAAAATAGTAGATTTTGGAGTACTTTTGAATAGGCAGAAGCACTTCTTAGAGTGAAAAGTATTGTTATTAGCAGACTGGAAAGGAGCTCATTGGAAGAGATGGGATCTGAGCGACTGTTACTTAGTGGTCGGGAAAGGATGAGGAAAATGCTCTCAAAAGATTCAGTTCAGTCAGATAGTCAGCTGAACTTCTGGCTTTGGCAAACCTACCAGTCCCTTTTGACTGCTTGTTACTAAGTGTAATATTGCATAATGATAGACTTTATCAATTAATGAGTTCCAGAGTTTCTGAGTGCATTGCTAGATCACATCCTAAACTCAAACGTGTACATTTCAAGAGTGTGATAACCTCTTTTCTGTATTGTCAGTTTCCCCGATTTTTTTTTCTATTTTCAGAAGCTGAGCCTGTAGAATAGGGAATGCTTTGCATGCTACAAATAGGGTCTCCCTGCCAACACACGAGATTCTGAGCCTCTTCAAAACTTGGCCAGTTTAGGATGTTGATTATTTAGGAGTGTGTAGTAGATGACATTTTTTTCCCCCTCTGCATATTAAAAAGGATGAAGAGTGAGATTGGAGGGGAAGTGCATAGCTAAGTAGCAGAATTTTGACATTTTTGCAAATGTGCATAACATTGAGAGAGCTGTGTGGTTGATTATTATTCTGACTAAAGCAACTATCCCTTTGACTAGCCTATATTTATTTTTAACTTACAAATAGAATGAATAAGCAAGTCCAAAAGCTTCAGAGGGATAGCCGAGTTAGTCTGTAACAGGAAAATTTTTAAAAACAACAAATAGACTAGTAGCACCTTAAAGGCTAACAAAACATGAATCTGGACTTCTAAAACTCCTGTCATCTGAAGTGGTCTATGCCCACAAAAGCTCATGATACCATGTACATGTTTTGTTAGTCTTTAAGGTGCTACTAGTCTGTTTGTTGTTTTTTAAGTTTTTTTTAAGTAAGTAATTCCTGGAAACTGCAACAGTAAAATATTTTCAGCCTGTGCAGTTCAAGGCTGTTTAGGGTGGGTGAGGGGAACAGCACTGTTTTGTGTTATCTTGGAAACTCGGCTCTTTTTACACATTGAAGTTACCAGAGAGAACTGATTGTTAATGTTTGTGATTCCAGCCACACTGAATAAAGTAACTGGCACTGTGTGTGTGTGAGGGGCGGGGGAGTCGGGGGGCTGGAGCTCTCACAATCTAGTAATGATGAGGACAGCAGAAGTAAAAGCCTGTCTTTAAAAATGCTTTCTGCAGGGGTGAGGGACTGCGAAGTAACTCTGAGTCTTACCAGAAGTCTTCAGCATTCAAGTCTGACTTTTGATGTGTCCATGCATTAGTTTTGGCAGTAAACTGTGCATGGAAATTTAGTTTCCATTTTTCTCTTATTTATTGGCATTGAACTGTGTGTAGTCATCTCTGGCAGCCAGACATTCTTAAAGCACTGGAAACTTTTAAGCTGATGCAGTGTTGGTCTAACTACTCAAGAAAGCAAACTTTATCAGAGGAGTTAAATACAGTGGGTCTATAAGTTATGACTGTTCTTATGTTGTCATTTTAAACTATTGTACTAGATTTATAGACTCATTATTGTTGCTTCTGTTTTTCCCCAATAAGAACTGATTGTGAAAACTCCAACTCAACCTCCTAGACTAAGGACTACTACCAAAGCCCCAGGGAGGGGTAGGCCAACTGCAGAAACACCTCATGCCACCACTGCAGATTGGGTGGAACAAATCTTGAACCTACTAAGAAATCAAAATAGAGTACAGGTGACCTCCAGAACACCAACAACCAAACCTCCGAAGTCTAGGAAAGGGGGGAAGAGTGGGGAAAGGAGAGGACGGAGAAGGAAACCCAAACCTGCCAGCACCCTGTCTCCCCCACAGCTCTTGAATGGTGCCGTGCGACTGATGAACAGGCAAGCAAGAGGAAGGGACCGGGGAAGGGTAGAGGTTTACATCAATGGAGAGTGGGGTACGGTGTGTGATGACTTGTGGAACTCTAAGGCAGCAGCTGTGGTGTGTCGCCAGTTAGGGTTCCCTTATGTTGTCCGGGCAACCAAGAGAGCAGAGTTTGGGGAAGGACGTTCACTTCAGATTCTTCTGGATGATGTTCAGTGCACTGGGCAGGAAAAGAACCTGCTGGAATGCACACACGCAGACATTGGCAAACACAACTGCTCTCACAAAGAAGATGCCGGAGTGATATGCAGCCATGAAGACGATGTAAACTGAAAACTAATTGCAGAACATTGGGAAGAAGGGAAGGGTAGAATTGAATTAAACTCATCTTTCTCGCCCCCCCCTTTAAACAATGGATGTATTGAATATGGTGTATTTATCCCTGAGGATGCTATAAATGATTTAAGTAAACTTGCAGTCTTGTGTGCTGGGAGGAGAGAGAAGGTACAGAATATAATCGCTTGAGCATGTGTGTGACCAGGGATCAGGTTTTTCTTTTTTTATGGGTGAAAGAAGAAACATCCTCATGTCATGTTAGGCTTTGCCTACAACCCTCATCTACATGGCTCCGTCGATGGAGCTATGTAGTCTAGACACAGCCTTAGTGATTATGAAATAGAAAAAGGCACCCCTTTGCCATCACAGCTGGGAATGTGGCACAGCATTCCCCCAGCTATGTCTGGCAGCATTCTGCTGAAACACATTCCCAAATGGCAATATTTTAAAGTTTTGTTTAGCCAGACATTCACATCGCCTGTTAAGCTGTTCTGACACCTGTAGAAAAAGCTTCAAGCATCTGTGAGTCTGTGGGGTTTTTTGTGGAACATGGAGATAACTTTGTGTTGAAAGTTTGGCTTAAAAAGGAAAATGAAGCCAGGGGCCTGATTTTCCTTTCACTACCTTTGTGGCTGATGTAAGTGTATTGACTGAAGTGGGAATTACATCTCTTTACATGAATAGAGAATCCTACCCAGAATCACCTGTAGTGCCTGGAAGAATTGTGTTAAATTCTATAAATTGGGTGAAATTTCATTCAGAAAGTCTTCTCATCTCACTAGCACCAGAGTAATTGTATTGGCATCACTGGAGTTACCTGCATTTACACATTGTAAGCAAGAGGCAAATCCAGCCCATAGTACATATGGTGACTTTCATTCAGTCTAACTGCAGTTATGAAAACACTTCAGCCCTAATTGTCCACTGCCATGAGCTTTGTGTGGCTACATAACTCTACACAGATCAGGCACAACACACTCCCAAATCAGAAATATAGCATTTTAGACCCTTTTGCACAGATGTAAATGACTACATACAGCGCAAAAGACATGGAAAACGAAGTCTGTTGCATGCATCAGAAAATCTCAATTGGTGTGTGTATTTTTTAAAAGTAACACATAATGTAAGTAAACACCACCACATCCTTGCGGACTGTCAGAGCATGTCTACACTAGAGAGTTATTTCGAAATAACTCCCCTTCTTTTGAAATAAGGTGAGCATCCGTACAGCAAGCCCGTTTTTTCAAAATTATTTTGAAATAACTGGCTTGTTCTATTGAAATAATAACCCCTGCTTCTCATGAGGAGTATTGCCTATTTCGAAATTGTTATTTCAAAATGTGGATGCTCAGTTGCTATTATTTCAAAATAATTGGCCTCCCGAGGCCTCTCACAGCTGCCCTGGTGGCCACTCTGGCCACACCCCTGATAACTACTGCTCCCCTTCCCCTGCAGTCTTTAAAGCTGCAGGCAGAAGGGAAAGGACTTGTGGCACCAGACCAGCCCTTCCAGCCCTGTGCCACACAGCAGCCTCTTTTTTTGGAGCCATGAGTGACCCCAGCACTCCCTCCCACCCCACCACGGCTGCAAGCACCCCCTCCAAAGCCCCTGGTCAGGGGCAAAAAAGGACATCAGCTGGGACAGGTGCGGAGATCCTGGATCTCATAGAGGTCTGGGGTGAAGAGTCAAACCTCCAGGCTCTCTGCACCAGATGCTAAAATGCTCATGTTTATGGCTGGGTGGCCACCAGCCTGGCCCAGAAAGGGCACAGTCACACCCTGGGCCAGGTGTGTGGCAGGGCTACATGAAGGTCAGGGAACAAAGTGCATGCTCTGGCACCACAGACCTGCCACTACTATGAGTAGCTGGATGCCATTCTAGGAGGGGGACCAGTCACTCCCCTTCCTGCATTAACTGTGGCCCGGACAGGCCCGTTGTCAGCCTCCACCCAGGGTAGGGCTATGGAGGAGGATGACTGCAACAATGAAGAGGAGATTGGCCTGGATACCATGCCCACCAGCCAGGTGCTCGTCATCAGTCTAGAGCTGGTGCACCCCCTCCCAGGATGTCTCCCAGGGTTCAGATGAAGCTGGGGAAGGCACTTCAGGTGAGTTCCATCACTGTCTCTATACACACGGGGAATGGGAACTTGGAGGAGGGATGCCAGGCTGGCGGGGAGATAGCTGCTCCCAGATCATCCACATTATCCCGCCAGCATAAGGACATGTGTCCCTCAATCACCACCATCATGGGTGCCTGGTCCACCAACCACCCTCGCCCTTCCCAACACCTGCCCCTGCCCCATCCCAGAGCCCCTCCTCCCCCTCCTGTCCCTTCCCTGTTGTATATTTCCCAAATAAAAAATTAGTTTTTTCAAAACAAAAAGACTTCTTTATTTGGACTGCAGGAGAGGGGGGCAAGGTGGGAAGGGAGCAGTTCAGGAGAAGGCACACGGGCAATGCAGTGGCCCCTCATGGGGAGACCAGTGGGGAGAGAGTCTCATGGGGCCCTTGGCTGAAACTCTTCCTCTAGGCCTCCTGGATTAGCACAGCCCTCTGACGGGCTCGCCAAATGGCAGTGGTGCACGGCTGCTCAAAAGCCCAGGTGAGCCACTCAGCCTCTGCTCCCCTCCCTGGCAGGAAAGTCTTTCCCTTGTTTTCTCATATATTGTGGAGCATAAAGCAAGCTGACATCACCTGGGGAATGTTCTGGTCGCCACGGTCTAGGCGGGTGAGGATACCCCGGAACCACCCCTTGAGGTGACCGAAGGCACCCTCTGCAACTAGGGTTACCAGGTAGCTTCAGAAAAAATACTGGACACATTTGATCGGGGGGAGAGGGATGGGAAGCAGGGCTGGGGGGAGAAGGTTGGGGGCAGCAGGACTGGCCGGGGAAGATTGGGGGGGAGATGGCTGGTGGGAAGCAGGGCTGGTCGGGGGGAGGGGCAGTGGGACTGGCCAGGGGAGATTGGGAGGAGGAGAACCGGCTGGCAGGAAACACAGCTGGCCGGGAGGGGGTCAGGGCAGTGGGGCTGGCCAGGAGGAAGAGGGGGAGAGAATCAGCCGGTGGGGATCAGGACTGACCCGGGCACATGCAGATCCCAGGGCGCTGTCTGTCCCGCACATGGTCCCAGTGAAGTACAAGCGAGGCCATCTACAGCTCCACAACGCACTTAACAGCGCTCAGGAGCACGTACAGGGCTTCTCCTCCCCCCCCCCCAAGGCGTCACTGCTACGTCAGACACAACCAGAGGTTCCCAGGGCTGCTCCCAGCCACTCTCCTCGCCTCCGCCAGGCTTCTGTCGGGTGCCCAGACAGAAAACCAGAAAATATCAGACATTGCACATGTCCGGTATTTTCTGAATTTTTTTACTGAACAGAGGGCCCAAAACCTAGACTGTCCAGTTGAATACCAGACACCTGGCAACTCTATCTGCAAAAGGGAATGGAAGAGGATATTCAAATGAGAGTGTGGCTTCGTCACCCAGGAGAGCAAGGAGTAGGCATGTTCATCTCCCTGACCCTAATGGTGCAGTCGGGGAAAAAAGTGCCAGTGTGCATCCTCTGAAAGAGGCTGGAGTTCCTGAATATGCAGACATCATGTGCCTTCCCCAGTCACCCAACATAAATGTGAACTGGCCCTTGTGGTCCACGAGGCCTGCAGCTTGAAGAAAAGTACTCCTTCCTACTGATATAATCTGAGGCCCAGTGGTCAGGCCAGGATGAGGATGTGGGTGCTGCCAAGCGTGATGACCCTCTTCAGCATGATGGCAGTGATGGCCTTCACCCATAGAAACATAGAATCATTGGGTTGCAAGAGCCTTCAGGAGGTCACCAAGTCCAAGCCGCTTCCCAAAGCAGGCCCAACCTCAACAAAACCGTCCTCGACAGGGGTTTGTCAAGTTGAGACTGAAAAACTTGTAGAGACAGAGATTCCACACTCCTGCCTAGGGAAACCCATTCCAGTGCTTCACCACGCTCCTAGTAAAAGAATGAGTCAAACCTGCATGAGCACAGCCCTGACTGTGGAGCTCCCCATGCTGAACTGGTTCCTGACAGAGCTGTCTGGCATGGCGAGCTTCCATAGTGCGATGGCGACACACTTCTGAAGGGAGATGGTGGCTCTCCTGCGGGTGTCGCATTGCTGGAAGGCAGAGCTCCAGGAAGGTTTCCTTCCACATGTGGAAGTTCTGAAGCAACAGTTGGTCATCCCACTGCTTCATGATGATGTGGTCCCACCAATCCAAACTGTTCTCCTGTTGTCACAAGCAGCGTTGCACTCAGGGGCGGCCCGTGAGCCTAGGCGAAGTAGGCAGTTGCCTACAGCGCCGCTGGCCTGGGTGCCTGATGATGATGTCACGGGGCGCTAGGGTGCCCCGTGATGATGTCACGGCCATTGACGGCTGTGCGGGGGGGTGCCAATTGTGCCGCCCGCTTGGGGCGCCAGCTGCCACAGCTGGCCTCGGGCTGCTCCTGGTTGCACTGTGTGCAGGAGAGGACAGGACAGAACGTTGTACATGAGAAGCACCCCAGCCTGGGTGAGGAGGTCCCCCATTCTGAGTGGGTCATTGTGCGCCTTCAGCACCATGAGGGCAATCTGCATGAACTGTGTCATGAAGTGCAGCAGGAAGCTTTGCAGCAGCTCCAGCTCCATGTTGGAAGTGCTGTGGCATCCGCAAGGGCAACCAGAGCACGAATTGTGAGTTACCTGATCCTCGAGGAGGTAGGCGGTGGAGAAGAGGATTGTGAGAGACAGCGGTAGAGATAAGCCCTTTTAAGCACGAGTCTCAGCTAGCCTCAGCAAACAGCTACAGGAAGTGCTTCCAGTGTCTTTACATGCAATTCAGACTCCATTCAGCATGGACGTTCTATTCTGATATGAATCTGTGCTACTGTGATGGGGACTTGTAGTGTGGACGTGCTATTTCAAAATAGTTATTTTGGGGATTATTATTTTGAAATAAATAATCTCTAAGGGTATGTCTACACTGCATTCTTCTTTCTAGAGAGGAATGCAAATGCAGCCGAGTGAAATTGCAAATGAAGCACAGATTTGAATTTTCTGTGCTTCATTTGCATAATCACATCTGTCCGCTTTTTCGAAATACCCTATTTTGAAATAAAAAATGCTGTGTA